GTGCCCGGCTGTACGCAGGCTGCTCCGCCTGTTGTCAGCGCGGATCCCCACAGAAGAAGAAGAAGAAGAAGAAAAAAGGGAAAAGCTGCAGGTCTCCCTCAGAGAGCGCGCAATGCAGCCCGGGACAATGTGCTGAATTGGCAGCCTATATATAAGTCTGCCATTTGGACACTCTAATGCCACTTTACCTTATGAGGGAACTTCAACCCGCAGCACCTGCTCAAAACAAAATGCCATAGGAGATCAACTTCAGCGACCCCCCCTCGCTCGGATTGTTTTTCAGACAGACACTCTCACTTACAAGAGAGAGAGGGGGGCTGCTGGTCTATAAATTGTTCTGCCAGAGTCCAAACAATTAAACAACTTGTTGGAAATAGTGATTTACTGCGCAGGCTGGTGTGGGCATGTCCAAACTGGCAACAGGAGGATCTGTCAAGCCGGGCAATTATTTATCTGAATAGAGGAGTGATTTGATGTGCTAACAAAAAAACGGTGCATGCCTAAGAAACGATATAATAGAGATAATAAGGGTTGTTGATATTTCAATCTGGAAAACAATTTCCTCTTTAGTGGTTTTCTGATCCATTTTTGTCAAGCATGTGTGATCTCTCTTTCTCTCGTCTTTCTAAAAGCTCCTTATCTTCAGACAGCAGCAGCTTATCAGAGAGGTGTAGTGTGGCTCTGAATATGGGGAACACCCTGAAGTGACTCTATCAGTCTGATCCAGGCGGGTGTCGTGCGTCTTGTCCTCCCGTACCCCCGGCACATCCTCACCGTGAACCCGCAGGGCAGCACCAGGGAGAGCCGGAGAACTGTCCGAGCTTCAGGCTCTTCACTCCGGATAAGAAAATGTCCCAGCATGCATGCATGCATGGCTCAAATTCACCCACAATTAACTCCGCACAACACCACCACTGTCACTCTATCAGGCTGCATATTGGACAAGTGAAACGGACACTACTTTTTAGCACCCTGAAAGTTAAAACGCACGTTACAAACTTGTTGTTAACATAAAGAAAGCCACAGATCGCACTGGAAGTTGAGTTTTAAAAAACTTACAGATGAATGTCTCAGCTCACTGGGACACTGTCTTGTTTCCCTCGGTATTGTCTCCTAATGAATGCGTGTTTATGGCTCCGAGTCTATTTTAATTTATGACTCACGCATTCTTCTAGGGTCAGGCGCCGTGACCTCCGGAGAGAAAGTTAACGTTGGCCCTTAAGACGCCCTACTTTCTCTCCCATCCACAGTCTATTTATCTATGTTATATTCCAGGACATGTGTGGGAATCTAAAGGCTCAACACATGGAGGTCTGTGGAGGTGCAGCGGAGCCGGGCACGCGCACCGACTGTCCGGCAGAGCGTTCATGGACAGAAAGGCTACCGCTGTGTGTCCGAAGAGGAAAATACTGACACCCAGAGACTGCATTTGGTCTGAATGGGATGATTTTAAGAATCATCTGCTTTAGTGAAACTTAATTCCAAAAATGTTGTTTTAAAAATAAAGTTTAGTGGCTCTTAATTTGTCTTCAATACGTTTGATTTTATCCAGCGATTTTATCCAGGTGTTTTTACGCATGGTTATCAAAGAGTATTTATTAAAGTTTCTTAATTATCTATAAAAAAAAATATTTTGTAACAAAACTGTTGAACCATTTCTGTTTAAAGTGCATGACAGGGATGAAGTGAAGGATGGACACAATTCAATTCAAGTTAAACTGCTTGTCTTGCTCAGTTTTACTTTTGCATCTTCTGAAATAAACTCGGAATATTTAATTTTCACTAACAGCTTGAACTTGAGGCAAAAGATAGAAGTGCATTAATAAGACTAACATGTTTAAAGTCAGATCTCTGCTCACATCTGTGTGGTTTTTCAGGAGTACAGATTTAATGATATATCTTTTTTTTCTTTTAGCACCTCATCACAAGAGTGTAAGGGGATGAAAGGAGTTCACAAATCAAAACCATCTCACAACCTGACAACCACACGGGTTTGGAGCTGCTTATAAGGACTTCATGAGGGAAAACGACTAAAATAACAACTTCCGTTTCTAATAATTTGCACGTGTGCCATTGAGTACAACTTACATTAAAAAACAAAACAATAACTGACAAATAACAGGTAAAAGTGAACATTATAATTTCCTATTGTTTTATCATGAACTTTTACTCGTAACGTAACTTTTATACGTTTTTTAATTTGAAATTGTGACATTTTTTTGTCAGTTATAACATACATAAATTACAGTTTTTTACACACTAATGTAAAACTTTTCAAACAAATTAAAAGACACGTATTTTCTAAGTAAGTTTTTGCGGTTCAGGTAGGGCCGACCGAGCCTAATCCCGGTCCAACGTGAGGTTTAAAGACGAGGCAGACTTTCAGAGATTCTGCTGCTGTCATCGCTGTTTGTTGTGAACAGAGATAAGCAGAGTGCGCAGCGACTTTTCAAAACAAGCACCGGCTGGCGGTCCGTGATGCAACAGGGACTTCTCTTACCTGGATTCACTTCTTCTGCGGGTTCCTGGCTAATTTGAAGATTACGGGCGATGAAGAAGAGCTTCAGCGGTTGACAGCAAAACAGGAGCAGTCAGATGAAACAGCCTTCAAATCCCGTGCGTAAAGTCACCATCGCTGGAGCGTGTCCGGGACTTTGGTAAACTCCTCTGTTCCTCCGCAGAGGATCTGGAAGTGGAAATCAAACTCTTCTTGTTCTGCGTCGTCTTTAGAGGCGGTGCTGAGCAGCTGTCATTCGGAGGATCTTTAAAAAATAAAAGTATTTAAAGTTATTCCCCGTCCGGCACTGTGTGGAGGTTAAGTGAGAGTGCGGGGCAGAGCCGGGTAAAGAGAGAGAGGCAGGATAACCCCTCCTCTCTCTCTCTCTCTCTCTCTCTCGCTCTCGCTCTCTCTTTCTTTCTCTCCCTCTCTCTCTCCCCTTCTCTCTCTCTCTTACTATATGTCTGTCTCCGTGTGACTCACTTTCTGTATGTGTATTGTTCATTAGATATTTATTTTAGAGTTACATTCATCTATTTTTGCCCCATTCCTTCAGTTTAACTTGTTTCGCTCATCTGTCTTCTTTCTCTCAATATTGCCTATGTGTGCGTGTGCATGTATGCACGTGCAGGACAGCACTTTGAATACTAATTGAATAAATAATTACTCACGTTGACTTCATTTTATATTTGTCATTTGTCTTATAACTATTGGCTGTTTTTCACTTCAAATAGAAATACACAAATAAGGAACATTTTTTGATAAAAAATAAATGCTGGTTTGTGTTAAGCAAACACATATAAAAAACATTAAAAACAATTCTTTGTGCTTATGTTTTCACATGTAATTAGGAAATGTCTCACCAGTAGTCAATTATCATTTAAAAACACATTTCCAAAGTCTAATACGGAAAAACAATCAACTTAAAAATCTGCCATCAAAAATGAATCTCTTCTGTCAAAAATGTCCTCCACTGTCTTCTCTGAATAACCACAATTGGTCAATCTTGAAAGTTGGATTATTTAATGTTTTGCTAAAGAAAACAATTCACATAAATATATCATATTAAACTGAGGTGTCTGTGCTCACCTTGATTAATAATAGAAAACGTGTTAATCTTAGTAAAGGAGAGAGCACACGTAAATAACTTCTCTTTTCGTTTAATATGTTAATGGAGTGTGTTGCAGAAATTGAGTTTCAGCGTCCTGTCAGAGGTGTGAGGGCTGCTGCTCTATTACAGTTACTCTAACGCCACCTTTTGGCGATTTTTAGGAAGGTCATCAAGAAGGTTCATTTTAGTCTGGCTGGCATATCCAAAGACATGGCTTTGGGAGATACAGTAAACTAAATGAACATGGATTGCATGTAAAAAAAACTGTAATCGATTAGGCCACAGCTCAGATTATGTTGCTAATAATGCTGCAATTTGAAAATTATGAAACTGCATTTAGTTATTGTTTTAACAAACTCTCAGAAGAATCTCAGATCTACACTTTAACAAATGTTTAAAGCTTCTTAAATCGTATATATCTGTTTTTTAATAAATACTTGTATCTCAATGAATTAAATGCATCTGTTGTAATGGTGATGTGTCACAATCCAACGCTAGGCGGCAGCAGAGTTATTTGAACAACTGCAAAACAAACGAAGAAGACTGAAGCGGAAGTGACGACACGGTGGGTTGTTGACAAATCGAGCTAGCCATTGCTAGGTAGCATGGTATTTACTTGACTTATTTACTAAATAAAACGTCCATAATGAGTTCTCTAGACGACAGGCACGGAACGAAACGTCCAGCTTCTCCAATTGACGTGAGTACAAATAATGCATCTTGAATGTAACGCTAATATAAAAGCTATTAGACACGAAGATAAGATTAGCATCACGATAGCCTGCTCGCTAACGCTATTCTTGTAATGCTTTTTGGTCAAATGTAAACACGTTTTCTTGCAGCCCATTCAAAGTGTATTCGTCTATTTAGGTTGATTTGTAAATATGTTGCAGAAAATATATTATACATTGTGCCGTAATGTCTTCATTTACATAAAAACAAGCTTGCTCGATATCTGTTTCAAGTAAAGGGGTCGTTTGACTGAAGGTGCTTTACCCAGCAAGGGTTACTGACCAAACCAACAACATGACCTGCGTGTATGTGCAAGGTGTGATATGAGGAGTGTCAAATCATAATATATTGTGAGAGACATATCCTTTCTCATCCTATTGGTTAGATCATATTTTTGATGCAGGACCTATGGCTTCTTCGCTTTTAAACAATATATCCTCGAGTAGAAAAGACTATCTACACACTATATAATATACAGAATACATTAAAATACTCTCTAATATACCAATCTACCAAAAGGACAGAAACATATAAGCAGTGTACTATATGTAAACAAATCGTGCACTGTAGTTAGCCCTGTCTGATATAAACAGTATGTGTTTGCAATGTGTTAATGCACAGCTCTGTGTTTGATGGAAGACTGCTCTTGTTGAAGTGAATCAATCAATCAAATCCACATGATGTTTTGCCTTGGCAGGATGGGTCTACATGGGCGACAGCTGATCTGGGAAGCGATGAAAGGAAACTGAAGTTTCTACGTTTGATGGGCGCCGGCAAGGTTTGATATGTTTATAGGAGATCACCATACTTGTGGTTCACCTTATTGTAGGCCTTCAGTCCAAAGTATCACACGATTAACAGAAAAGCTTGGTTTAGCTCATCCTCATCAATTTATAATGTTTAGAGTAGTTCTGATTATTGATTTAAAATGGGTTTGTTTCTGTTGTTTTTTTTATAGAAAGAATCCACCGGGCGACTCGTGATTGGCGACCACAAGTCAACGTCCCATGTCCGCAGTGGTAAGCTTCTTCATTTCACGTTTGTAAAATGCTGCTTCTTATGTAAGAAATCTCCAAACGACTGTTCTGTGACACTTACCCATGCTGCCTTATCCTAATGCCCAATGCAATTAACCTGGCTTCCCCACTACACACCGGCCAATCAGATCTATCCAATGCATGGATAGGCCTGTAGTGGCTGGTTGTGCCTGCTGTGACTGGTGTCTCCTCTGCAGGGATGGAAGACCGAGAGATGAACGAGCAGCTGGAGATGCAGTACCAGCAGGGCATGGACGGGAAGCTGTCGGGCCGGAACCGGAGACACTGTGGTCTGGGTTTCAATGAGGTGAGGGGTCACATAGAGCCAGAGGAGGGGTCATGGGATGCTGCAATGATCTGTTTGGTATTTCAGCCAATCAGAGACATGTTTTGTATATATCTGAGACCTATCATATATTGATGAAAAACTGTAGTATAATAGGGGACCTTTAAAATACATTACTTCTAGATGTATCACTGAGGGTTGCATTTCTGACTGATTCTTAACTGACTTATTGGTTTCTAGTGATTTTAGTCCAACTTCAGTTTCCATCTGTTTTAAACTACAAGAAATATTGTTCTAAATGTTTTTTTACTATATTAACTTACCATATAACACGCGTCTAATTTTCTTTTCATAAGAAATAGCACTTTTTTTGTCTCTACTATGCAGAAAAGCAGACAATCCATCAGATTCAAATGCAAGTAATATTTAAAACTAAAGGGACAACTTCACCAAACTATTTTCAAAGTGGTCACCTCACAATCAAAATACTGTATATTTTCATTTAACTCAAGGTGGAAGTGTTCACTCTAATTCAGGGACATTTGTCTGCACTCTAGTTTTTTTTAAATATCCTGTTATCTCGTCCCTGCAGCCGGAGCCAGAGTTACTGCCCTCCCCACCAGTGGACAGCCAGACAAAAGCAACAGAGCCAGAGAAGTCCACCTGTGCAGAGAAACCCACAGACGCCAAGGACGAAGGCAGCGATTCCAACTCGGAGACCTCGGATCAGTCCAAGTCCAAATCCGAGTCCGACTCAAACAGTAGTGATGAAGAACGGGAATGTGCTGCAAAGAGGCCGTTGTGAAGTCAGCGTATGGCTGAGGGGGGGGGGTGCAGGGAGAAAATTGTTTTTGTAATCTCCAATTTGTACATTTTACATTATTTGTTTACCTGTAGGTGATCTCCCATGATTCTAGTCCGTTTTACTGAGCAGAAATCGTTTTTTCTTTATCAGTACATCCTGGAGTGTTTGCTGTCATGAATCAAGTCTGCAGGCTGAAACATCTTTCTCTTTTTAAATATTTGGTTTAAACATTAGAGCAGTCAGTGCATTTGCCATGTCTTATGTTGGATGAAACGGGATTGCTTGTCATTCAACACAGTCGGTAAACACATTGTACATTTTGTGAATTCTTGTTTCAAAACCAATAAAAGGAAGTATGGATTTAACGTGTGCTTTTCCTCACAGTAAGGTTACAACTGACCTCAGACAAGGTGACTGTTGCATTCTGCTTTATAACAATCACCGTCTCAACCAAGAAACAAATGCAGTGGATTTAGTGAACATTTAGGACAATGTTTTTTGTTTGCATTTTAGTGTGACCAAATTGAACGCGGAATACACTTTTTTTCCGCTGGGTCCGCCCACTCTTGCATGACGTCAAAGCATGAATTCCAGTTTCAGAATTGTAAGCCAAACGCTTTTAGACAGCAGGTAAGACTCTTTTTTTGTTAAAAGATATTCTTCAATGTATTATCTTAATAAAAAGTATGCTGTGTTGAATAACGAGGTTCTTAACAGCGGTCATTTTCCATATTCGCAGGAACAGAGAGAAGGTGTTGTTCCTTGTTCACCGCATCCCAATAGACGTTTTAATTGTGGCATACAGTGTGGATATGTTTTTTTAAAGGGGCTTCATATACCAACGAAATAATCAGATTAATGGACTATATGCATCTCTAACTTTGTAAATAATCCGTTAAGATATAACTATTTTACTGGCGCTAAATGCCCACGTAACTGTGTTTCTAAAGTATATTGACACAGCACCAGTCGAACTGTTTTTGGCTTGCACACTTTATACACGGGTAACGTCATGCAGTAGTGGACAGGAAAAGGGGATGGCATGACAACAATTTAGCTTTGTGTTTGCATTTTCTTGCAGCCCTTTTGTTCTCTGTTTTTAACTGTAAAGCCAAGCTTCATGAGGGGCAGTGGTGTTGGGTAACTAAATACATTTACTCAAGTACTGTACTACTTAATAATACAAATAATCAGGGCTGCTCCTGGCCAACTTGTGGCCCCACGCAAAGTTATGTGATGAGGCCCTCTGTGTCGCGAGCGTCGACGGGGGGGATTAGCCAATCAGCAACCAAGGTAACCCCCCACCCCACCTTATCACCTGAATCTCCTCCTAGAGCACCATTGTGTTCTTTTTAACCAAATATCTCCGGTGCTTTTCAAGCACCAGCACCGAACCGGCCCCGAAACACCGTTGGTGTGAATGGGGTATCGGAGGGGCTCCTTATTTTCATCTAAAGCAGGGGTGGGGAACCTTTTTCCTCTCAAGGGCCATTTCAATGTTCACAACATCCCCCGAGACAAGAGTACAAATGATTGAACTCAACCTAAAAAATCACAGCCCATTCATTTTGCCTTTCTTTCCTGCTGTGCAAAGAAAAAGCAACCTCTTAATCCAGATGTCTTTGTTTTATTTTCAATGTTTTGATGTTATGCTTTGGAGAGAGTGTGTAAAAGGCGTAAGGACCAACATGCAGACAGTCACTATGACTCGCACATGCATGCACGCACGTGCACGGTTGTGGCATGACCACCCAAACAGAAAGATATGGACACAAGATGTTTGCAAATGTATTTAGTTTCCTATCCATGTGAACATGATTTAAGTGGGGGGGGGTGGTCCTCACCTCCTCTAGTGGATGTTGAAGTTAAAAGCATCAATCTGGTGCACTTTGAGAGCAACATTAGGAGATCTATGGATACATCTCTCAACACCCATATGAAACAGAACTGTAGCAGATTTGATTTTTCTCTATGGATATTTTACAAATCACTCCCCTTTTAAACTGTATTCTTGTTTATTAATAACAACTTTTTTTTTACTGTCATATAGTATTTGATACCTGTTTTTCCTTTATTCTCTTATTTTTGTATAACTATAGTGATCATATAAAGATGTGCCTTTACCTCACTGAGCTGAGGTTATCAGAACCTCTCAGTCTGTCAGCAGAGAGCTCTCTTCCACCTGGCTGTATACAAAGCTCCTTATATCCGTTAGCAGGGCCGGTTCTAACCAATGTGCTGCCCTAGGCGAGATTTGGGCTGGGAAAAAAAAATGAAATCCACAACACAATGAGCAAATACGCCTTTGAAATGAATGGCATTAGATTATCCTCTACGTTTATGAACTTCTTTTTTAACTTATGAAAGCTACTTTTTGAGCATATAACTAAGAAATGGGTGTGTTATATTTGTGAAACAAGAAATCAATGAAATGCACACTGTATACCAAAGGTGTTTTATGTAATTTATTAATTTTCATGACTTTTTTTCACGTGTTAATTATTAATCATGTATTTGAAGGCACTTCAATTGATTGACAGGACTGTGATCTTTGTTATATAGAAAAAATACAGCAGAAAATGAGCAAGCATGTCAAGCCAAACAATTTAATAAATAAAAGATGTATGTAAAAACGTTACTATTGTAGTGTGAGCATGTTGGCTTTTATTCACTCTGTAAAATAGATACAGCAAAAGGGATAATTGCAGATTTAAAAAAAAAAAAGCAATTCACTCATGTTATAAATTATTATTGCTTAATTGTGCACAAGCAAGAATTGATTCAACTCTAAAGAAGTGTGTCTTGTTCTCACTCATAAAAAAGAGATTTGTTCAAAGTTAATCAGTTAGTTGGCCACTGCTGAAAGTGGATCAGACCCCCCCGACCCCCGACCCCCCCCCCCCCCAGGAAGCTCCTCTTCTGTGGTCCTGCAGGTCAGAGCTCTGCAGAGGCTTTGGCTGAGGAGGAAACACAGACAAGATAAGATAAGAAGTACTTTATTGATCCCAATTTGGGAAATGTTTTGTGTTGCAGCAGCATAAAAGACATGGCATTGTACAATAAAATGAACTAGAAATACACAAGAAAGTAGAAAATATACACGTTGAATTACAAAGTACAGTAACAACATATAAAGCAAGTTATTATATATACATGTGTATGTGAGGCAAGAGGACATCAGTGTTTCTTCATCATTAATTAAGCATTTAAAGAATATTTAGCAAAAGCCCCTCTAATGCAGTTTACATTTCACGAGAAAACGTCTTGTGTGGTTAATCTTTCCAGGGCGCTGCTCAAATATAATGAGTTTAAATAGTGAAACATCCTTTAAAAGTGTTGATCTATGTGATACATGTTAGGGAATAGTTTGCTTAGGTATTCAACCTTCGACCCAGTTCATCATTTTCTCCTCTCACTGTCTCCTTTCCCACGGCATAGGTCTACGGCCTTGGGTATTGTTGCTATCTTTCTTAAGGAGGAGCAGCTTGGGTATTGCTGCTATCTCTCTTAAGGCGGGGCAGCTTGGGCGCATTGTTGTTGCCAGTCTATGACCGAGCACAAGCCGCCATGAGGTAGTTTACTGTTCAGGGACGTAGGTTCCCTGGCGCACATTCTTTTCTATGGACGAAAGCTCTAGTTAGATTCAGGGTCCATATTGCTTTAGTCTAAAGAATGCTGATTATTACACTCCGAACTAGTTAAAACCTCGAGCTACAGAAAGAGTTCTTCAGAATTGGTTTGGCGACCGCTGTGTCAACTCGTGACACACCACCTGTCTCGTCAATTCTCCGGCCGCAACTCCAAATAAACCGTCAGTGTTTGCCATCAAAGCTCCAGCTCTCCTCGTGTCTCTCTGAGTCCTGACTCTCCATTGCTACAGACTGCTTTGCTACATTACTATATATTTCTGAGACATATAGGGGCTGCACAAACCCCTGTGCATGAATCGCATGATGTATTTGGTCCTGCAAGATTTTGATTTGAAGTGTTTTTGATTTATTTACATAAAAACACACGCACCAAAACACCACTTGCACACACAAGGCCACCACATTTCACTAAAGCAGCTCTTCAATAAACCTGAAGCTCTTCGGATAAAATATCACCCACAACAAAATAGCCAGGACTGTGCACAGATGTTTCAGGGACTTTCTTAAAAGTGTACATGTACAGTACATAAGGCTATGTGTTTTTGTTTTGAGATTACATTTTAGATTATGTACACTAGACATACAGTACATGTTCCTGTATCTTTGGACGTTTCTGATAGTACGTTCTATAAAAGGCAACAGAACAGTTGTCAAGCAGATTTTTGCAGATTTAAAGTCTCTTGTCAATCTGTGCACATTCCTGACTAAACCCAAACAGTACATAAACTGAAAACCACAACACACACGACCACCACCCAAAAGGGAAATGGCGGGTACCTGGAGACATGTTCACCAACTCTCCATCCACTCAGAGCCTGCACACCAGGGACAAACCACATGTTGTCGGTCTGAGACTCTAAGGTGTGTGTGTGTGTGTGTGTGTGTGTGTGTGTGTGTGTGTACTATACTTGTGGGGACCTAAATCTGTTTACACAGTCACGTGTGGGGACTTGCCTCCCTTATGGGGACAAAATGGAGGTCCTCATGAGGGGAATCATTAATTTTAGGGTGAAGACTTGGTTAGGTTTAGGGTTAGGGTAAGGTTAAGGGTTAGGGTTAGGCATGTGTTGGTTATGGTTAAGGTTAGGATAAGTCTCCAGGAAATGCATGTAAGTCAATGTAATGTCCCCTGCAGTGATGTATACATGGTATGTGTGTGTGTGTATGTGTATGTGTATGTGTATGTGTATGTGTATGTGTGTGTGTGTGTGTGTGTGGTGTGTGTGTGTGTGTGTGTGTGTGTGTGTGTGTGTGTGTGTGTGTGTGTGTGTGTGTGTGTGTGTGTGTGTGTATCTTTATGAGTGATATGAGGTTCTGCACAGTGACAACATTTCGGTTGTTATTCATCAATTAATCTGGTCTGACTCGCTTTAAGGATAAACGTTAGCATTATTGTAATAGGAGTATAAAGGCTTACATACAGTTGTGATGGTTGGTTTAAAGGCAGGGATGTCCAAACTACGGCCCGGGGGCCAAATGCGGCCCGCGGACCATTTTGAATCGGCCCTCAGCAAATTCAAAATGTATAATGTTACACGGCCCACAAATGAAACTTGTGCTTGTCTTATATTGTACTTCTTAAATATACATGTACAAATATATTACACAGTAGTATCTGTGTGTTAATAAAACCACTTTTAAAATAAATTCAGTCGATTAAAGTTGGAAACATTTTCTAACAAATCTAAGTTGAGAAAAAAGCCCAGTAACTTATTTACATAACCAGTTTGAAATAGACCCTTCATATCTCCTCTTATGATAAGCAATCTGAGGCTTCTGTTTTAAGGAATGAGCTGCCAACAACTTTTTGTAACACAATAAATGAAGCCCTCTGAAGAGCTGTGATGTAGGCGGTTTTTTTCATCTTGCATTTTCAAGTATCAAGCATAATTGACCTACATTTGATTTATTTTGCTGACTTATAACTGAACTTACGAGGCGATATACCTCGAGTGAGTGGCCCAGCCCTTCGTATATTTCTCTGTATGTGGCCCTCGGTGAAAAAAGTTTGGACACCCCTGGTTTCAGGGCTCAGGGATGCATTAGAGAATGTAAATAAGGATGTTTGTTCACTAACCTGCCACCAGCTTGCTCTTGCGTGAGGCCTCGGAGGCCAGAGCGTGCGACACGCTCATGATCCTCTCCTGCTGCTGCAGAGCTGCGTCCAGATCACCGAAGTCCAGCGGAGCGGACGGCTGTCTGTTCTGATAACTGGAGAGAGAACACACACACCAGGGTTCATACACTTTTTCACCAATGATTTTCCATGACTTCTCCATGACCTTTACCTAATTCTCCATGACCTTTACCTAATTTTCCATGACCAAAAAAATTACTCTTTCTCAGCGGTACCACTGAAAATGGTTTATTTTAACATGGAACAGGAAAATAAGGTCTGCATATGAAACATGTTGTGCCTATCTAAAACAAATCAAATAGGCTTACTAGCTTCTACACGCTAAAGCAGCTAACATCTCTCACCAGCAAAATACCTCGTCAGTTAAATGCCATTTTACGTTTCATTACTATACGATACAGTATGTATTATCATTATAGTATTACTATTTCGGCGATTAGATAAAATATAAATTATATTTGATGCAACTTTAGTTACTTTTCCATGACTTTTCCAAAACTTTGGGAAAAATATTGTTTTCCATAACTTTTCCAGGGCCTGGAATTAGCATTTTGAATTTCCATGACTTTTCCAGGTTTTTAATGACCGTAAGAACTCTGACACACACTCCTTCACTTAGAAAGAACAACCTGCACCATGGGCACATACAGTATGACTTGCAGTATGTACCTACTTTCTATAAAAATAAACATCTATGTTTCTGATATTCTTAACCAATAATATCTGTATATATGTCAAAAGTGCACCTAACTCTATTGGGGTTATATTGATATATATACAGTAAAATGTTTCCTTTTTTCCCCTTGTTATCCTTACCTGTCCTATCCTGTGTTTCATCTTATTCCTGTTGCTGCTTTAAAACTTGAATTATCTTACAGGAATCCAAAAAAGGTGTTTCTTATCTTGAACCAGTGGATTCATAAATAACACACTCACATACTGATCACCATTTAGAGCTTCATTCCCACAGGGATACAGTAGAAGCTGAACTCACTGAATGTATATCAGTGCATTTCACTCAGATCACAATCCCCCTTGAACACCTTCCTAGGCTGAAGACTTTCTTTTTGCGGCTACTTTCAATTGAACTATTCACATCTTACACTGCACTGTAACTTTTATTCATGTACCTGTGTTATTCATGTTTTATAATCTTTGCTTTTTAATGTTTCTGATGTGTTTTATGCCCTTAAAGGTAGGGTAGGTAAGAATGGAGAAACCAGCTCCAGTGCGCTAGAATTTGAAAGTACGCAGCCGAAAAAAATCTGCCCCTTCCTTCAGACTTCCTTACAGAGCCCCTCCTCCAACACACACGAACGCGCACATGACCAATGAGGGCACGAGATAAGTTTGTGCACGAGATGGAAGGCTGACAGGCAGGTAGGCCATCCAGTTATTTTAGCCGGGCCGGCTCAGATGATTGGTCGTGCTTTTTATAGCGCCACGGCTTCCACAGATGACATTGTTATTTAATGTATTTATTGCTGTCGGGATGTTAAGAGCCTTCCATGGAATATCACAAAAAGTGTTTCTGAAGTGAATTACCTACCCCACCTTTAAAGTCTTTTTGTAAAGCACTTTGAATTACCTTATGTTGAAAAGTGCTATATAAATAAACTTGCCTTGCCTTGCCTGGATTTACTTGAAATAAAAGGCAGAAATCTTAATGACCCCAGCTCCTGTGTGAGACTGTGTACCTGGACTTAGCGAGCAGGTTCTTGATGCGCTGCGTCCGGCGGCCGCGCTCCTCCTGCTCCTCCGGACTCAGAGGCTCGTCAGGGTCCGACTCCACGTAGCGCTCTGGGATGGGAACCTTCTGAGGTTTGCACAGCTGCATGGGGAAAGGACAGGGCAGCAGTCTTAAAATCCCATTATGTGGTGATGACGCAACCATTTTAAGTTTGTCTCTTCCAGTAGAAATGAACATGAGGTTGTTATGCTTTTCATAACAATGGTAACTAATTCTCTCTTGGGTATTTCTTCTACATTAACAGTGATTTGTGCCTCTATCTAAAGTTCCTATTCAATTCTTAAATCTGGCATTCATTTAAGAATATTTGAACAATTCATTTAAAAAGACGTGGTTTGCAAAAACATTTCAATAGACTTTATCAAACTGTCATGCAGTGAAATGTGAATGCTTTTATCTAGCACAAGATTTTGGGGTTACCACAAATTGGATTTGAATAGGGCTGTTGAAGTCAATGACTCACACCTATTTAAAAACCACACAGAAAAACCCATTTGATTGACAGGCCTCCCAGGGTCTAGACTTTCCCCTTTCAGGATGACAATTCAATTAATGTACTGTAGATCTTTTTGTGATTTAAATACATGTTATATATACAATTTAAGAGTGGTTGCCTAATATATATATCAATATGAGCTCAGCACACTCTCCATCCATGCTAGGAAAACTTATGGAGGGTGTCTGAGATGAACTGAGAACTAAAGTGCCGATTTAACCAGATAAATCAGAACAGTGGAGCTGTCAGAAGATTATCATCCTTTGATGTGCTCTTATGCCTCTGCGCAGGCGACAGCTGAGGCCGTATGAATTATGTTTTTGGGTTATTTAAGTCTGTCCATCCGGATTTCTCCAAATTTGACACAAATGTCTACTTGGATTAGATTTTGGTTGTCAAAGTTTAAAGTCACTGTGATGTAATGAAACCCATTTTAGGCTATACCTAGAATTGATATGCTAATTAAGACATTTTCACACATATCTAATAGAATAAAACTTCACATATTGGACGAACATGGATGTTAAGACGTTGTTGTAAAGATGTAAACTGCAACTTGACCGGTTAGAGGAGGCGTAAAACCCCAAGAAGGTCATTTTAGTTCATGACTGTGTGTGTGTGTGTTTGTGAGTGCCTACCTCCCGGCTGATATCCAGGTCGTAGTCCAGAGGCTCCACATCCACCTCTCGTATGTGTGTGGCTGTGACCGTCACCCACTCATCTGATTGGATCCTCCCTCTCTCATCTGATTGGATCCTCCCTCTCTCCTTGGCCTGGCTCCACCCTTCATCGCTCTGACCCTCTGCAGCCAGACGCTCCTCCTTCCAGTCAAACACCTGCAAACAGCAGGAGTAATTATTACAATCTTTAAAGTAGATCACAAAACCTCTCTTTCTGGACATGTGTTTGAAGGGTGTTACCATAAAGATTGACTTTAAGCTGTTGATATTATTTCCACTGATTAACAGGATTTCAATAGAGACAATATCCCCCTAACAGCGAGTAACATTTTACATACAGATGGCTTCAAATATCTACTATATTGCACCCAGTGTCCACATTAAATCTACTTGTATTGAGTTTAAGCCTTTACAGACATACATTATTAGTTAAACAATTATTAAACTTGAGTGAAGTTGATTTGCAACATATTTTATAATTATTTGGTTAGCACAAACGCTGAGAAATTACTACTTCAGCTGCTACATTTTAAATATTTGCTGGTTATCCCATGTTTTCTTTGCTATTTAACAGGATTAATTTAGAAAAATAACCATAGTTGCAGCCTTGGTAGTGTAACAGTAAGGGATTATAAAAAATACTTAAAAACAGGTTTATATTCTTCAATAAAGTGAAATAAAAGACAAAGCCACATGAAGCTGTGTCAGGTAGGGCAAAAAAGGGAGTGAATAGGGAAATGCAGTAGCACTGTATTAAACTAAAGAATAATTAAAAAAATATTATATAATTTGGCGTAAAACAAAATGTAATCTCTGCAGTGAGTTGTGCTTCAGATATAGGGAGACAAAGATGCATTTAAACGTTTTTTTCAACCTAGAATAAATATAGAAGAGTTCATCCAGGAATTAGACAGTATCATTTTTAGAATCATCACGCCAGAGAAAACACAGGAATAAGTTGAGTCTGTTTTAAAGACTTCTCTCCTATGCAAACAGTACACTATTGCATCTACAAAAATACTCTGAGTCCCAGACAACATGTACGTGTGTGTGTGTGTGTGTGTGTGTGTGTGTGTGTGTGTGTGTGTGTGTGTGTGTGTGTGTGTGTGTGTGTGTGTGGAGGGGTACTTGTGAGTAATCATCCCAGGAGCATCAAAGCCATGCATCCTCCCGCTCCAGTAGCCTGCAGATCTGCTGCTCTGAGAGACACTGCAGCCCATGCCTTGTTGTGCTCAGGAGAATCAATCAAAACACACAGGAGGACAGAGAGAGAGAAAGAAAGAGAGAAAGAGAGAGAGAAACACCATGCAGGAACAGATTCATCAGGAAAAACCCACGACAGACAGATCAGGAAGAACGCAGCCCAGAGGAGGATCAAGAAGCAAGGAACTCTTTATTGTCGAGTGCAAATCTCTACATGATAGAAAAGGGAAGAGTTGTGCGTTGCTTCTCGATAACACAGAATTAGGTGGTGATTAGCAGTTCACTTCTCTAAGGTCTCTATTATATTTCTATACTCTTCAACTGAGCAAACCTCCTGGATCTATATTTCTTAAATCTTTGATCTGATATATTGTATGTAGCTGTGGAAGGATAAAAGCAATGTGGCAGAAAAGCTCTCAAGATGTGGGGAAAACAAGGAGTGGAGCGTATGGGCATTGATTAACGTCCCTTTTCTCTCATAAAACAACTAATTTGAAGAACTTAATTGGATATCTGGTTAATTATAAGATATTGTTCACAATTTTCATATCCAAATTATCAAAAAATAATGACATAAATTAGGAAAATAATCATCCTAATTTAAACATCCCCACTGTACAGTCCCTTTTTCACACTAATATCCCATGGAAAGTTGTCCACTCCTTGTTCATATTTATTATTATGATCTCTTTTATTGCGTTTCAGCCCTGTTGCTTCAACCTGTCCTGTATATTTATGATGCATAAAACAGCACAGCATAGGCCACTTAAAAGTACTCACATATGAGTATATATATTATTCTCTTCCCAACTTTAATCGTGGCAATGTAAATACCAACCACTGTCAAACGATAAAAATAACCTTGTAATCTGTACAAGAAGAAAAGGCTGCATGAATGAGTTGGTTAATTCAAATATAAAATGGTGTAAACATGTTTTATGCTGGTGGAGTAGAGAAAATAAAATATGCTTTATGGTTATATGCACTGGAAATAGATAGCAGAGAACTACAGACTATGTATTGCTCACTGTTACACGGACAATTGTACTCAATGATTCATGGGAAATGTAGTCTGATGACAGGCAGAAATCACAGCAGTCTGTTAGTCTGTAATCATAAAAACAATCTGTTATGTCTCGTGTTATCTCAATGGAAGACTTTGACATTTTGGATTATCACCTTTTCACCCAGGCATTGTTAGCATTGTTAGCATGTTAGCATTCCATACTGAAACTAGATTTAGTTTAAATGTCAAAGTATTCCTCTATTGGTTAAAACCAGCACATCTTCCTAACTGAACTCTGCTCTTACACAGAAACCTTAAAGCTAGCTCTTTGCATCGTTTCTATGATTCTGAAGTGCTTTGAAACAAACCACGGTTAATTAAAAATGATGATTAAGGAGGTACATTTGGGACAAAGGCAAAAAACATCATCGGCAAAACAAGGCACTTGGATTTCATTCGAAGAAAAGAAAGCAGGGAGGTGTAATCATGATTTGTGCCACTAGCATCGCCCCTCTCTTCATTTCATCAACCTGATTATTTCCCGCAACATTTCCCCCCACTCTTCTATATGCTCTATATACCAAATCTCTACAAAATATAACTGTACAACTGTATACTGAAAATATCCCTCAGTAAATAAATACAAGTGTACACGTACATGGTATGTAGATGTACATAAATGGGCTCTTCTCTCTACTTTCTGGTGAGTAAAACAGAGAAGGGAAGGCAGTGCGATGCCTTCAATTCCCTCCTTATATCTTAGTGGATTTACATTCAAAATTGTGTCAGTGAGGTCCCACCGTGGGGCAGTAGGGCAACCCCTGAACCTTTTAAAAAAATAAACAGGGAGCGACAGTCCCAGTCCCGAAACTAGCCAAATATTCCCGTCAAATCCCTGTGTGCTCATTTGTCTCCCATTGTTCTTAAAGCATTCACCAAGCTAGCTAGCCAGCCTGCCCTTTAGCGTGTTAGTGCTAACAACCATTGGTTAGACAGAGCAGCAGAGTAGGCTAGCGTGTTAGCATTCCCAGCTAGGTTGTTATGTGCCAGGGGGCTGGAGGGTGTAGCAGCAGTGGTGGTGGAGGTGGAGCTCCCTGTGTCTGCTGCTGCTGCGCGGGGGGTAACGTACGGAGGCCGGGGGGTCCGAGGTGTTGGCGGGCAGCCTGGAGGAGGAGGAGGAGCGCTGGGCGGTGGAGGAGGAGCGCTCCTGGCTCAGGTTCCTCTTGCGCTCGCGAACTAGCGCCTTCTGGTGGCGCTTCATCCGTTCCAGTTGCTCCTCTGCCGTCATGCGGCCCCGAGGCTGAGCGCCCGACAGCTGCAGGACGTCCGGAGGAGACGACAGGAGCTCCAAGGCACTCTTAGGTCTCTCCTGGTTTGGGGGGGGAGAAGGAACAATACAGGGAGGGTTGAAACAAGGTCAAAGAGGGAAAGGAGAGAGGGGATGGATGTTTGGTGGGGTTGGTTCAAGAGGAATGGAACAAAATAGATGATATGAGAAGATGAAAAGCGGGCAGGAAGTACAAAGATGGAGGAACAGTGACATAGTTTAGTGAACAAAGAATGAGAGGAACAGGAAATGGCAATAATGAATGTGACAGATTTAAACAACATACAATACCGCTTAGTTTGCTACATTTGGCTGGTTAGAAGGATACAAGTTATGTCCAAATGTCCACAACCTGCATATCAATTGCTACTTTTATCTAAAAAGTATAATGCATACACTTAACTGTGATTCGTTCATGTCTACTAGTGGTGCTCACCCTTAGAGCGCTAAGTCATTAAGTTCCTTTAAGTGTAGAATAACAATGTTCAACACATCTGGCTAATACAAATTGAGATCCAGGATAACTCCAGGTGATCACACATATCTGCAGATGTTCCTCCTGGACTCACCCTGGCTGCAGAGCCCCCAGCACCCCTCCTCAGGGTGACGTAGGACGCGATATAGTTGGACTGGTTCAGGCGAGATGAGGGGCCTGACAGACCTAGTTCATGAAAAACAAGACAGGAAGCAGCACAGCTTAGTTCCGTTTGCTAAATAAATAAATTAGTGAGGTAAAACAATGAAAACACAGCGAGGAAAGGTTAAATTAAGATCCTCACAAGAGAAGAAAATTGAAATTCCAAGCCAAGTGCAATATCTAGCAATGAAAGTGTCAAATAATCTGCCCTGTGATACGGATCCACTTCAAAATGTTTTGGGTTTAGTCTTGGCCCATCCTACATCCTTCCAACAAGGGTTAGGGTTAACTAGTTGTATAGTCATCCTATTCTTCATAACCTCCTTGGCATGGGTCATAGTGTAATGGTGATACAAAAAAGTGATTATTTGCACTGGTAAAACAAATTCCCTCAACTTAATTTAAATAAAAAGTTTACGAAATTAGATTATTAATTTGGTTTAAAGGTTGTATCAGGATTGAGAATAATTAGAATAACGTTCCAGATTGGTTTACAATGTATTCTTCTGCTCCTGTCGGGTGACAAAAAATGACTGAGAGATAATTTATTGTCAAGATAAGAAATACATTCTTCACTTTTTAACTGATGAATCTTCAGGTCTGAAGAGATTGGATTTCTAATGAAAATATCTGTCTTTCTGAACATAAAAACACCCGTTTGTGCATAATCAAAGTTTCATTAATTTAATTAAAGCTCGCTAACATCTATTTTTCCTATTTCTATGCTGTACAACAAAACCAAGTTTGTTTCCTGGAGAAAGATATGAGAATAACCACATGTGGATCCTATATACCTACTTTAATTATATTAATAAAAAACACAAAGAATTATGGGCTGGAATGCAAACCATGCTGGGAAGTCAATAGTCATAAAGAAGGTTAATACATTTCACTATTTTTCTATTTAATGAATTTAACATTTCAGATACCTTTGCCCTGGAAGTACAGGTAGTCCATGTCGGCCTCCGTGCTCAGGGCTGGCAGCTCTGGTTCACTCAGGTACGACCGCATGTCCGTCTGTAACCAGAACACATTCAACAAAAAGACAGAATGTTAGCTATTGGTACTAAAACAACTAATTGGATTTTTAAAACAATTAAAAAATCATCCAAACAAGCTTCGTTCTTCATTCTTGCTCAAATGAATAACCCTGTATCACACCTCACGTCTAACTAGCAGGGAACCTCCAGTACATTACTTTAGTTTCACTTTAACCAGATTTCACTCTGCTTTCCACCCTTCAATAACCCTAAGTAATTTGCATATAGCTTACTTAAACTTGACATTATTGCATTTTAAGTTTGTATAGAACAGCAATTACTTTTTTGCAAATGTTATGTGTAATGTATTTATCATGTGTTTATAGTTTATTTAGTAGGAGCTTGTTAGTCTATTATAGTGTTTTCTACCTTATTCTGTATATTTTTATATACTCTAGATACTTTTATATTTACTGTTTGTTAATTTTTAACTTTTTTACATGCTGCAGTAACAAAAACAAATCCCAGTTCAGGATCAATACATGATATTTAACTTATCTATCAAAGACACTAGATTGTTAAACACTTGAACCATTCATCTGTTTGCAACTTATATATATATCAATATTCCAATTACTGTATATAGACTATTTTGCACGATTTCTATTATATTCTATTTTATTGTATTTACTTTTTTATCTGTTTTATTGTGTTGCACTGTTGGAGGAGCCTGTGACCTAAGATGTTCATTGTCATATCTACACTGTAGCTATGTACACATGACAATAAAAGCCTTGAAACTTGAAACACTAGTGGGGAGATTAATTGAAGTAACTTAAGGACAGACTACCTCTCCGTTGGCGACGTACTGCCCGCCCTCCCGGTCCCTCTTCCTCTCGTCTGATTGGCGCTTCAGCCCTCGCACCGACATGTGGCGGATGACGGACGCCTCTTTGGGGAGCGGCGGCACCACGGGGGGCGGGTCCTCGCTGTCGTAGAGGTGAGGGAGGGGAGGCCTGGGGGGGGCGCTGTCCTCGGCCTGGACACCCACCAGGAGGGAAAAAGATTCAGTGTTTTAGAAGAACCAGAATGCAATGCTGATGAAGACCTCTTGAACAACATTATATTAAATCAAGCCAAAAATTCACTAAAATTAAAGACTCTAATATTTATCTTAATAAAAACCCAATCATCCTGCTACGTGAAAAAACACCAGAAGAAATACAAATAATGTTTTTACTTACTCTTCTTCTAGTAATAAGAGTAAGTAAGATCTTGTAAATGGCATGTATAGAATAAAAGAAATACTCATTTGAATAACAAATCAATTTCATTCATTTGATGAAGGGAAAAATGGGTGAGGCATACAACAGGAATATAGAAATGACAAATAATGTCCTAATTATTAAATTATTGTTCTTTTTCTGATTTGTGGATTGTTATTCCATGTTTTTTTGTTTTGTTTTAACTCTCATTTTGTTGTGTTATCACATTATTTTCCAAAAAAAAGGCATCAAAAATAAATCTAATATGAAGTGAACTCTGTGGTATCTGAGCAGACGGGGGACACTCACCCACTTTGGCACGGTGCTGTGAGGCAGCGTTTGGGAGCGGGCGTTGGGGACGGAGCTGCGAGGCGGAGGCTGGACCTCGGCGCTGAGAGAAGGCACGGAGCGGTCCGACACCGAAGGCACTAGTTTCCTCTCTGGGGAAAAAACACAGAGAAGTCAAAGTTTATTGTCAATCTTTCAGTTTGTGTGTACAGACAGAGAGAGCGAAATACCATTTCCCACTATCCCGAATACAAAAACAAATATATATAAAAATATGTATGCAAATATGTATATACCTATATATACACAATCAAAGACACATTTATACATATGCACACATTAAGACCTAAATAAAAGCACAACAATCAATATATACAAAATAACAGTCACTTCAATATCTTTGAGAATGTACATCAGTGCAAGATTGACCATAGCAGTGTAAAAAGTGTCTGGTGCTGGATTTGAGTGTCTGTGTGTGTGTGGTGTTAAAGTCCAGTGGGGGCAGGGGGGAGAGGGGGGAGAGGGGGGAGAGGGGGGAGAGGTGGGAGAGAGAAATCAAGGTTTTTAACTTATAAATGTTAGCATATGTATGTATATAAGGGAGGCGTGTTGTGCAGTGGGTTCAAACCCCACTGCAGTCAGCATGTCGTTGTGTCCCTGGGCAAGACACTTCACCCCAAATTGCTCCTGTGGGGATTGTCCACAGTATTGAGTATGTAAGTCGCTTTGGATAAAAGCGTCTAACAAGTGACATGTAATGTAATGTAATATGTGTACATATGTATGTGTATGTATATATAGAATTTTGTTTATCTGTGTGCGTATTTAATTACGGAATTATCTTTTTTTCCTTTATCCTGCAACTGGATGACTAACGGGAGGGCTACCTCTGTATGAGCTGTGCTTTCTGCCCTCCCGCTTCTACTCATTTAGTTAGTTTTTCGGATGTATAAACGGTCTAATTGTTGAAATAGTAGAATAATAATAGTAAAATAAAAAGCAGTCCTGAAATGGAGTCACACTCAAAAAGGGGGGGAAAAGTCTGACCACATTTATATTAAAAGAAGTAGAAACAGAGACATGATGACACAGATTATTTATATACTTTATTGATCCCCATTTTCGAAAAAGAAGCCACAGCAGCTGATAATAACCACGGGGTTGCTATGGTTACTCACCTGGGTTCTGGACAGAGTCGATGGTGATCTTGTAGTTGGCTTTGCTGGCACTCAGCCCCCCCATCACGTCCTCGATCCTCCACAGCTCGCGCTTCATCTCTCCTTTCTCCTGCTGCGAGATGCAAACACACACACACACATTTTATGTTTGTCATATGTCGAATGGAAACCTGTGATTCAGGAATTGTCAGACATTATTAGACCAAAAGCTTGTAGAAGACAAGAGGACACATTTAATACAGACGGTTCAAACTCTTCAAATAACCTTTAAGATACCCAGTTTATGAAAACAGACGCTGTAAAACCAGAGGTGTCAGGTGAATCTGCTGTGAGCTGCAGTACCGGCTCTCACCTGAGGGGTGGCACTGTGGTTCATGTGAGCCTGCAGCGCCGTCCTCAGCTGCTCCATGGACCTCTCCAGCCGGTTGTACTCCTCCCAGGCCTGAGCCATCTCCTGCAGACACACACAGTCTTAGGTTACATAATATAACATACACATACATAACATATACTGTCCAAGGTACTCAGTTTGCAAGAATCCTGTATAGCAATGAGATAGTTTTTTTAAATGTATTCACAAACTTAATTGCAGGCATCATTGCGGCTGGGTATCAGTTCTTAATACCAAAATAATGATATGTATAAAATGAGGTACATATTGGTATCGGTTATCTATAAGGGACACACATTCTATTGAACATAGATGCAAACTGTATCTGCACAAGTAGCTGCATGCATTCAAACACACATGCATACAAAGAGACACACCCTTATTAAACACACTTTTAAATACTATTATGAGACTTTGCACACATGTGTCACTGTCTATACATTGGATACATATCTGTGGTGTTAGAATAGTATCCTTATTAATACTCTGATGGATTTAAACCTTATTCCTACCGACTACACATACAGTTTATTGTGCAAAATACTGGCAGGTAAAATATACAAGAGGCTACTAGCTACACCCACAATAATACATGTGTGCATCCTGTGATGGCATACACACCGTGGAGAGGCGTGATATTTGTGCCCGGATGGACACCAGGTCCTCCTGCAGCAGCCTCTGCTGGTAGGAGATCTTCTGAGCGTGGGCCGGCTGGTCATGGTACAGCTCCATCTGCTGGTGGGACACGTCCAGCACACTCTCCAACTTATCCTGTTGGGGTGAGGAGTCGTACAGCATGAGGCCAACCAAAGCAACTATACAGTAAGACCTACTAAATCCTGCTTGCTCTGACAATGCACTTTTATGATATTCGGAAGAGGACACTTTTTCAACAATGCCTCCAGAGGGCAGCATGTTTCTACACTCAATCATAAACTTCCATAAGATCTAATTTTACTTCACTGGAAATGATTAGACTTTCATTCTTGTCTTTATAGTATATTTATTGTGTTTAATATACTTTTTAGTGGATTCAGCATCCCTCCAAGAACTGATGAGACTGTAGTGTCTTCAGTGTTGTGTTTTTGGAGAGGTCTGGTAATAGTGAATACAATAAATCAAAATATGGAGTCTGAAAAATCAATACCCCAATTGAAATTGGATGTGCACTGCTCTATATACTATTTAATACCTGAATCTTTCTTTGTTTTTTACTCCATTGTAGCTCAATTGACAAAATGTATCTAGCTCATTTAAAAACATTGCAACAAGATACAGAGACAATATAGCAGGAATTCAAACAGTAAGGCCAAACAAAAGCAAGATCAACATAATAATAAAGGGATTAAAGATGATACAATGAATAAAAGACCACATCACAAGTCTGAAAAATGGTGTCTTTAAGAAGACATTTAAACTAAATCACTGATTCTGCAAGCCTTATCTGCTAACTGTTAATACCTTATCTTCCTTCAGAGAGCTGATGGTCGCCTCCAGATCTTTGAGGATCTTATCCTGCTCACACAGCCGACTCAGCTTCACCTGCAGGGGGAGACACTGAGTGAGCACTGAGCGAGAGAGGGGAGTATTGTAGAGACTGTACACACATTAAAGCACTTCTTAAGTAACTAGCATTAGTGTTCGTCTGTCCGTTGACCTCTGGTAATTAAAAGGTAGGGTAGGTAAGAATGGAGAAACCAGCTGGAGTGCGCTAGAATTTGAAAGTGCACAACCGGAAAAAATCTGCCTCTTCCTTCAGACTTCCTTACAGAGCCCCTCCTCCAACACACACGAACGCGCACATGACCAATGAGGGCACGAGATAAGTTTGTGCACAGATGGAAGGCTGACAGGCAGGTAGGCCATCCAGTTATTTTAGCCGGGCCGGCTCAGATGATTGGTCGTGCTTTTTACAGCGCCACGGCTTCCACAGATGACATTTGTTTATGTATTTATTGTCAATTCAAAGCATTTAATATATTCATTGCTATCGGGATGTTAAGAGCATTCCATGAAATATAACAAAAAGTGTTTCTGAAGTGAATTACCTACCCCACCTTTTAGTGGCCCATTTACTTAATGACAACTTCACCTGCAGCTGTTGATACATAAGTATGTGTACAAGAAAGTGCTTCTCCGTGTGTTTGTGAGTATGAAAGTGGAGCGTTTGTACATTTTTACTGCATGAAGGTTTGTAAAACCTTAAAGAGGCCATATTATGCTCATTGTCAGCTTCATATTTATATGTTGTGCCTCTACTGTGACATGTCTCCATGCTCTGATTGGTTAGCTGGCCGGCTCTGTTGTGATTGGTCAACCGCATACAGATGTCCCGACCCTTAGCCTATCACGTAACTTCGGGATTGTAGCCTTTGCAGGCCATTTACATGCACTAACACCTTTCAGGAAGGGGGGGAAAAGCATGATAGGGCCTGTTTAACATGCACGGTACCGTTGTTGCGCTGGTCACGTTCAGGTGTAATTACTGTGATTGAGCCTATTAGACAAAGTGTGTGCGACCCACCCGACTCTTTTAATTAAAGTGTCGAGGGGCTCTGAGCCCGTTAATTAATCCTCCGTTAAACAAGGCAAACGTCCAGGCGCAGGTTGGATCATTTCATCATCCTGCATTAAAACACTCACGGTGTAATGTTGTAACTGAACAGCTTGATGTGGACAAAGTGCTTCTCCGTATACACAGTTAGTTGTTGTATTGCATCATATCAATTATTAATCCTGTTGTTTTCTCCACGGTCATGTCGTGGTTGGATCCGATCAAATATTCATCGCAGACAACGCTCTCATAAATTGTTTAAACAGCAGAGTATGCAGGGAATGTATTGGATTATCAAAGTGAAGTAGTTAGCGTTCACCTTTTAACACTCTCTGTCAGCTGATTGCTGAGTATTAGTTTATCACGTATTTCCATGCTCTTTCCATAACACCCCTAATTAGTTTAGCCTTAATTCCCCTCAAGTTTCTCCTGACTGAACCACGGCAGTCTGCCCCTCCCCTCTAAATAAACTCAAATTGAATGTTACCGAAATATAGTTTGTTATTTTATTGATAGCTTATGCATGGACATGCTTAAACTGTGTGTGAATATTGCATCAAAGTACAAACAGTAATTAAAATGCTTGATCAATTTGTTAGACATTTTCAGTTAAGTCAAGTTTATATTTTTTAAATGTGTTCTTTTAAACTTCATGTGAATATTGCATCAAACTTAATCTGTTTGATACAGTAAGACTTTTTCATTCAAGTATGTAGAGTATGATGTGAGTATTGTTGAGAAAATATGAATTAATGAATACAATTGTCATACATTTTCCTGGACAATGGCTTCACTCTCCACCACATTTCAATGTAGTGAATATTCTTTAAATATCTAACAGAAAAACAACCAGGAACCAAATTAAAGAACATTTGAAAGCGTCCGAAATGAAAGACCCCTGTATTACTCACATCCACGTCACTTTCTGCAACCTTGACAGGTTTCCCTGCCTCCTTCTGACCTCCAGCTACCTAGAAATTGTAACAAAAAGCATTTCAAGATGTGAGTTGTACGGTCAAAGAAAGTGTCTGAACCGTGGAACAATGGCGCTGAAACAAAGGAGATACAGAACACAGGGACAGGCTACACACTACAGTATCACGAAGCTGAGACATCTTAGACACATTCTCTCTGCCTCGTGTGTGACAGTATGAGTGAGTTTTGGCACATCAAATCAGCTCTTGCCATGGAGAACACAATGGCTATGGTCACTTTGAAGCCCTGCACAAATTGACGCATCCATAAAACCTCTATACAGTTTATTATGGCCACTTCATACAAAAAAGTACAGGAAAGTAGTTGTTTAAAATAGTCTACGGTCAGTTGCTCCCTTTAAGTTTTGGCTACTTAAAGTTCTAGAATAACCTCCTGAAAAACTACAAAACATTAATCTACAGCACATGGAAAAATCAACTGTTAAAAGCTTTTGTTAGTGCTTGTAAATGATTAGTTTAGGTCTACATGTACTTGTTTTTTGGAATAAAATATAGCCGTAACACAGTGGCGCTCTGTGTTGGTGTCGTGCAGCGTTTCAGAGACGATGGTAGAAGCAGCTGGCTTTTCAACCACCGGGCCACAGCCACAACACATGCACTGCCGAGCCATCCCATGCCCACTTTTCAACAGCATCGTCAACATCACCACATGGGACGGGGACGGGGACGGGGGACAGGTCAAAGGTCACGTGGATATAAGACGTTGGATGCCATTCAAGCCATGAATGCGGTGCTGAAAGCAATGGGATGGTCTTTCTAGGACAAAGACACTACACCTGTACACTAAATACTGGAGGGACATGCACAAGCATAAATGCGAGCACACACACACATACACACACACACACACACATACACACACATACATACACACACAGGCCCGATTCCAAACTATCTAACAACCAATTTCCACTCCGTTTGCGCGTTCGTTTGGAGGGTCGCCACATTTATTGCCGTTTCAAACCAACTATTGGGAAGGGGGAGTTATTAAACTGCCCAACAGGAAGTTATTATTCACCTGTCAATCAGGAAGTTATTAAACCATCCAACAGGAAGTGACTGACACTGTTGGTAGAGTTAGCCTGCTTCATAATTGTAAGTGTTTTGTCACTATATTTGAAATGACTAGGTTAGCAAGGTTAGCTAGCTAGCTACAACAGCAGATCTAAAATAATATCGGAAGAAATCAAGCAATCAAATTGTTAAAATAAGCTAATAATACATACATTTTAGGTAATTTCTAACTGCAGTGACAGTTGACCAATGTCTGAGAGATGCAGATTTTAAACCATTGTTACGAAAAGTTATGATCTTTCCTGTTTCTGCCGGAGAGAGGGGAGTTTGTTCTGAAGCTTCCCGCTGTATTTCCACCCTCCACCTTAAAGAAGGAGCCTCATTTAACTGAGAACGTGACTACAGACGGAGATCCTCCATCAAGGAGTGGCAGGGTGATGGGGTTTGTTTGGAACTGGGCCACACAGTCACAGCCACACGACATTCAGCATTGTTTCTGCTTGAACAGCACTGGATACAGACACTCACACACACGTACAGCTTACGTTCATTAGAGGCCTGAGAGGCCCAGCAGTGTAGTGCAGTAGTAAACTGTGAACTGCGAGGATCAGGGGCTCTAGAGCTCTGATCTGGGAGTCAAAATCACAAAGACACAGAGCCGCAGTCACAAAAGGGCGGCTGCTTTAGTGAGCAGTCAGAAGTCTACTGGGAATCTCTTTATTCGTGGCAAGAGTGTGGTCATCAGTAATAAGTAATAGGTCAGTAATAAGTGTGTTAGTTTGAGCTGAAGACATTTCAAATTAGAAAAGGCACAGAACAAATAGATAACCGGAACTAAAGCAGAAGATAAACTAGTTAAAATGTCTAACAGCAGATATCCAATTTATTCATCTCCAAACCTCACCTTCAGGTCCAGATACTCCAAGTCCTTCTTGAGCTGCATGTAGGTGTCATCACTCTAAAAGGTGACAAACATGAGGGAGGGAATTATTGATTTGTGTCAACAGGTGTTATAACAGGGAGTCATTTGAATCTGCGGATGTCAAGTATGAGGATTTCTGTCATGTGTCCGTGCCAACATGCATCACAACGTACAGTAAAAATGCATTCATATATATCCAGAGATGCTAATATTCTCCTACTACAGAAAACAAAAACACCAGCACAGACCAGATCCATCTGAAGCAGCAGATATTAAAACAATTCAGATTCAATTCAGCTCACATCACAAAAACAAACAAAAGATTCACGAATCAGAAGACCAAACTGAGCAACACATCCACAGCCAGAGCATGGGATGTCTTTGTGGACGTCAACAAGTTAGCAGCACAACATGCCTGAGGACATTTTTCACTAGAAGCACGACATGGAAACGGACCAGCCAAGAACAGCACATGGACAAAAAAAGAGGCGGATGACGGCAGAAACCAGATTAACCATGCCCGACGTCACCACACTAAAGAACTGGAGCTGTGGGGAGAGGTTGCCACTGATATACTGAGACTTGGCTATTGATGCTGTTGCTGCTTTTTTCACTTTTATGTCGGTTTGACAAGTTATATTTAAGGTTAATTTCACATTTAGACATACTTATAGTTGGGGACTGTGTTCTGGACAAACAGTGTCTATATGCAGATAGAGAAGATGTCAGTGGTTTCGGAATAAAAGGACCATTGTGTTATGACACCTTTGTTTGGTGTGCTAAATATAAAATATTACATATAATTTGTATACATGTCTTATACAGTATGATAAGAGCATCATTGTCATTGTGTTTCAAGAAATAGTCTAGCTCAGGGGTGTCAAACTAAATTTCATCACGGGCCACATCAGCATTATGGTTGCACTCAAAGGGCCGGTTGTAACTTTAAGACTATATCAAAATGCATATACAAATATTCAATATATATAAAATAATGTATTATATTACATTATTGCCTCTTCATTGGATTATTATCGGATAGGGTAATAACTTCATAATTAACTATGTCTGAAAGCAGAAGTCTAGGGCAAATAATTGCAAGTCTCTTCAGTAAGAATGTCACAAAATGATTTAAAAAGAAAAGCCAAATTCTGAAAAAAAATAAATAAATAAGTGAAATTTTGAAAAAAAAGTCTAATTCTGAGAAAAAGAACAATTCTAAGAAAAAAGGCATATTTTGAAAAAAAAGACAAATTCTGAGAGAAAAATCAAATTTGAGATGCATTGTGGGACATGTAGTTCATGGGCAACGTGCTTCTGTAAAGTAGCATGTAACCGTATAATAAACATATTATATTCTTTGCAAGCTCTTATGGGGCCGCATGAAATGAAGTCGCGGGCCGGATTTGGCCCCCGGGCCTTGAGTTTGACACCCCTGGTCTAGCTGTTGATTTCACCTGGGTTAGATCCATAGGTGGTGGTGTGATGATTAAAGGCTGGCATCAAAGTTGGATTGTTATTTATTTTACACAAAGTATCCATAAATCTAGGAATTTTTTTTTTTTTTTAATCCTATACAAATATGGTATTTTGGGGGGAAATGGGACATTTAATTTGTTAGGGAATCCTCAAAGGTATTAAAATCCCTCCATCTGATCAGATATTTTCATCCAGACTCAAGTGTTGGACGGACGGATTGACGAACAGACAACTTACCAACAAAGAGACACATCTTTTCGTTTCTAGGAATATGTTTAAAATTCATAGTAAAAATTATATGAGCTCCAGGCTCGCGTAAAACTTAGTGGTTAGAGCTGATGGCCCACGTAGTTTGAATACATTTTTTCATGCGTCATCCCCACTATCTCCGCCTTTCAACACTGTCACTTTCTAATAAAGGGATAAACCGGCCCAACATTTTAGTTTTACATGATATAAACTCTAAGTATGAAATAAACATCGAAACCTCCTATAGTAGATCTGAATTAATGTAAAGCAGAGATAATATGTTTGGTGGCAACCTCTACCAGTAAAATGAAGGGCAGGCATGCCGCATGGGGGGGGGGGGCGCACACCTGGGTGTTGAAAAGGCCCAGGGGACACAGGTCAAGTCCGAGGTGGGACACAGGAGAGGGGCCGGAGCTGAGGAGGGGGCTGGTGCTAGTGGTGGAGGCAGTGAGAAAGTGGTTGTGGAGGAGGGGCTCTGAGGGGCCGTTGATCCGCTGCAGCTGGGAGACCGCGTGATGACGGGCGGCGGCCATCTTGGCCTGATGGCGGCGCAGCTGAATGAGGAGCAGCGTGAGCTCCTCCGGCTGCCAGGCAACATCAATCACACAAAACCATGGTTACTCACTGTAACCCTAGTTCTAACAAGTACAGATCGAGCCCTTTACTGGAGTCTTTGGGTAATACACTTCACCAGTCAAATGGTACAGAATCACCCACTGAAATGTAGCCGGCCAATCAGGATGATTCTACGCAACTGCTTATAGAACTAGGATTTAACCATTGTACACTTACACAGGCTCTGCCATCTACTGGACACTGGGTACAGTGGGTTGAACCAGACAACTAAAAGCACACGAAAACGCATGAAGTCGGGTAGGTTCGTCCTGATTGGTCGGCTATGTTTATTTATGCAAATTCAGTGGACGAATACGTAATTGGTGAACACCCAAAGAGTCCAGTAGAGGGCGGAGCCTGTGTGAGTTAGAACTGACCATACCAAGCTACAGAGAAACATCTATTTTCCTAAGAAGTAGCCTTGCATTCACACACAGCACTACTCACTACTAAAGGTGGATTAATGCAGTTGAAACAAAATGCCAAACTCACAAAAACAAACTGTAGATGTCAGGCAATGTCTTCCAAATGTTTAGCTACAGACAACTGGCCAATGCCGACAAAGGTCTAATCAATATTTGGTCAATATCTGTTAACATTTTGTTGTAGCGGAGAATAAATGCTCTTCTTGTGACAGATTTCTTGTGAGAAACACATTTCTAGACACTGGAGGTAATCTTCCAGAAGGAATAACACACCACTTCCAAAACAGCCTCTTCTTTAGCTTTTAAGCATTAAGGTTTCTGCTCGAATTTTCAAATACTGAAATATTAATTACACACCTAATGTAATGTTTGTTTAAATATTAATAAGCATATTTGATGTTTCTAATGGTAAGACGTACCGTTTTGCCATGAAGGCTGGGAGCGCTGACGGTGTGTGTGATGTAGCCAGATGGAGGCATTGACCGTCTCTCAATAGTAGAAGCCTGACGACACACAGACAACACAGTTTACACAATACACACATAGGAGAAAATGACATAACGGACAATGTGTGCTATAGAAATGACACTTTAAAAGACATACAACAACATATAGAATCTGTTATCACACGATATTACAGTTCACTTCACCCAAGGCTGGAATGACTGTTAGAGGATGCAATATCTCACACGGCCTTGATAACAAAACACTGTTTTATCTCTGGGCAACATTGGGGTTGAGAGAGAGTGGGCGTACATTTGCATATTTGTATGTTTTTTCACAACCGAGTTGCCAATTTTCTCAGTTTGCATAAATGAGACAAATGTGTTACACAGTATATATATATTCAATACAGTATGAAGTATATTAAATATATGTATAATTGTTTAAAAAGGACATATCCTGCTGATGTTCAGGTGTATATTAGTATGTAGTGTCTCTACTGGGACATGTCTCCATGCTTTAATGTTCAAAAAGCTCTTTATTTTTCTCATACTGCCTGTACTGCAGCACCTCTTTTCACCCTCTGTCTGAAACCAGAGCCCAGTCTGCTCTGATTGGTTAGCTGGCTCTGTTGTGATTGGTCAACCATTTACAGAAATCCCACCCCCTTGCCTATCATGAGCACTGTGTTTGAGCACTAGCCAGCGTTTCCGCCAGGGGGGCGTCTTGCCGTCATTTGACGCCCTTATTCAGCTCGGGACGCCCTGAACTCGAGCCGAGGGCGTCCAAAAATATTAATAATTCGAGAGAAGATCGAGAGTTTTTATCGCTTGAAATAACGAAAAGGAAAAAGGACAAGGACATCCCTATGTTGGAGGGGCAAAGGAGTCTGGTGGGATTCTTTTCGGAGTATTGAAGATCGTTTCCCCGACATCGGCGGTGCCTGCTACAGGACAACACGGAACATGCGCGATTTGGACGCGATGAGCGGGGGGGGTGCTAGTGGAGCATGCGCGTGAGCTGCGAGCACCAGAGCCTCGCAGCGGCGAAACTGAGGCTCCGTGGTAAACTGTGGTAACATGAAGATCCGTTTGGGAGCCGAAACAGCCGGCGCTTTAAGAGAGCCGAGCCAAATTATCCGGTTCAATAACGTAAAAAGACAGTATCTATAAGGGACGGCTCAAGTCATAATGCAAGCACCCCCCCCCCGCTCTCGGGGTGGACGCCCTCTCAGCCCTGGTCTGGCGGAAACACTGGCGCTAGCCGATAGAAGCGCAAGTGTTACAAAGAGATGTCACAATGTTATGGAAGTAAACAAAATAGTCCAATGGAGGCGTTGCAGGCACACTACAGGAAAGGGAAAACCCCAAAGTAGATAATAGGGACTCTTTAATATAGTTTACTGACTTTTTGACTGAGTGCTGATACAGTTGAGGTAGTTTAACAGACTGAAAGCCTTAAGGGCACGTCTGCCATTGTGCCCCGAGGCACTGAAACAATTATAATGTTCAGTGGAGCAAACTTCCAACATCCTCCCCACACTGTCACGATGACTGACACTGTTCTGGATGGGAAACTATTTCATTTGACATCGTGCTCTTGACAAGTGGGGGAATAAAATAAACATTAATGGTTCATTCTCTGGAAACAGGCAGGATTGATTTCTTTCAATCCATGTCTGCTGCAATGCAGTGAAAATAAGCTGCTGTCACCCATACGCCATTATCTAATATGTCTAATCAACATTATCTACACATGCTGCAATTAAAGAACCCATCCTTTATTCAACACAGCAGTTCTTGTATAATTACTTGCTTAAATACTCCGGGGACACTTGAACAATTATCAGTTGATTGATCGCTTTGGAGAAACAAATTTGGGTTCATTGAATATTAAGTTGCCTTGAATACGAGTGTGACGCGAGCTTTTCTGCCTGCATGAACGTTGGTTTATTCCCTAGAATTAGAACTGTCAAATTGTTCCTATCAAGTCTTGACTCTGTATTCCTACACTTCACTATGGACATTTAGTAAAACAAAAAATTTAATGTATTGCATTCAGAGAAAGCTTGCCTCTTTTGTTCATTTGTTTGTTTTCCTTTCTTGTCCCTTTGGTATGAAGCATCAAACATGAGTGGAAAGTCAAACAAAACTGAACCTCTGTGATGTTTACTGAGAGGTTTACAGTTATCTACACAAGATATTGAAGTGACTGTTATTTTGTATATATTGATTGGTGTGCTTTTATTTATGTCTTAATGTGTACATATTTTAAATAATACATATTTTTATACATATTTATATTTTTTGTATTTGGGATTGTGGGAAACCGTATTTTGATCTCTCTTATATGTATGTGATGACTACTTCCATTCTTGCAAGGATTAATGAATACATGTATCCTGATTATTGAAGCTCAAGCCGGTGACAAGTGATATTTTTCTAATAGTTATCTTCACATGTTGTTTGCTTCAACATTATTTTTACCTTGAGCATCTGAGACTTGCTCCTGCGGGGGGACACAGCGAAGGGGCCGTCCAGCACCGACCGTTCCCCCGCCGGTCTGACCGTCACGCGCCCAGCCGGAGTGTGTGGTCTGCGTGTGGGCGACAGGGTTCTGCTGGAGCCAGGTGGAGGTCCGGGTGGAGGGATATCTGCATCTGTGGGGGGTACCGAGACACAGCGGGGGGGCCCTTCAGACCTGGGTGCTTGAGGCACGGTGGATGGAGGTCGGGGGCCGAATGGGTAGTCGGGGGCCGGGGTGTAGAGCGGTGCCGTGGGGCTGCCGTGCCGGTACTGGTGCCGCTGCTGCCACTCGTACAGCTGCCACACGGTGCCGGGCCCCGGGTTGGACCCCATGTTGGGTCCCGGGTCGGGGGCCAGGCGGAAGTGGCTGAGGCGGTCCTGGGCGTACTTGTACTCTCCGAGCCGGGCGGGCGTGGGGCTCTGGCGAGGGGTCTTTGGCAGCGTCTGGTACGCGTCTGGTGTGGTGAACTTGTGCTGGGTCGGTGGTGTGCGACGAGGGAGGGTGTTCTCTCTGGAGGGGGGGCTGAGGAGAGGAGAAACACCAGAGGTTATTTTTATGTACCAAATTAACCATCCGGACCAGAACCACCAGACTCAGGGTCAGTTTCATCCCACAGGCCATAAGACTGTTAAACACCTGAACTTCTTAAAGAACATCCATAACATTCATCTGTTTGCAACTTATATATATCAATTCCAATTACTTGTATATAGGCTATTCTGCACTATTTCTATTATATTCTATTTTATTTTATTTACTTGCACTATTATCTGTTTTATTGTGTTGCACAAACAATAAATGATAAGTTGAATTTTCAAGACATAAGGCGGTGCCCCACCCTTTGTGATCAGCCTTCTGCACTTTGACCCACTGCTCCACCTGCTCCAGAGTGCTCCTCCTGTGCAGCAGCCTGTGAGAGTCAGCCGGCGCCCGCTGGTACGTCCCCGCTGCGATCCCATTGGGCTCCAGGATGGGGCTGGGCGTGGACACCAGGCCGTTCCTGGTGCAGATGCTGGAGGGCAGGGTGGAGGCGGCTCGAGACGGGGCCCGGGACGGCACCCTGGAGACAGGCGCAGAGGCCGAGACGTGGTCCAGCTGTGGGAGGGCGGAGGGCGCGGGGTTGGAGGGGAGGGAGGTGTGCGTGTCCATCTCCAGGGCGGTGCTTCCTATGGGGTGCTCCAGCGTGGTGGAGGCAGGAGAGTACTTGTGGAGGCTGCAGCGCTCCTCTGAGGCCCGGTGGATGGGCTCCAGCAGAACCTCGTGGACCACGGGTCTGTCAGGGTCCTGATGGAGGGTCACGTGGTTCGTCTGCGGGACGGCCTGCTGCTGCAACATGTCAAACGTCTCCAGCTTATCAGACGTTCTGTGGAGAGAAGTGGGGATATAAAGGCCTGGGTGAATGTTAGCCCATAACAAGACATGTGATACTTTGTTTTGCCTTTATAGGATATGTTATAGATATATTATATGTTTCCGTCCCTTTAGTAGGTCTAAAGTATTCTACTTTATAATGTATATTTTATAACGCGTATTCTCAGATACTCTAAAACGTCATGGGATCGTTGTTTTGTCTTTGTAGGATATGTGATAGATATAGATATTGTATATGTTTCCGTCCCTTTAGTAGATAGGTCTATTAGAGAGAATTCTACTTTATTCTGTATATTTTATAGTGCGTATTCTCAGATACTCTTCTGAATATATGTATTTTCTAATGGGAAAATACATATATTTGCTATATGTTTATTTTATTCTATTTGTATAATTATGTATGATGCTGCTGTGACAAAACAATTTCCCAACTTGGAATAAATAAAGTATATATCTATCTATCATATCTATGTTTTTTGTACGTGTAATACGTGCCGTTTCTGTAACACAATGTCTCAGAAATATGTTGTGAATTTTTCTTTTTTATTGGAAAACCAACCACATTTGTTTGTTAATGGTGTTTTGTATTTGCACATTAACTAAACAGTGTTAGTGAGTCGTAGTGCATTACAAAAAGTTGTGTTGTTAAGTTTTGGCAGGTAATTTGCTCCATACATAACTAAACCTCAAACCTCTCAAAGTGTTCTTTTACTGGATAAGAACCAATTCTGTTTTATTGGATCCCTTCTGATACTCTATGGACGTCTTGTTCCACCATTTCTGAGTTTGAGTCTTTTATCTCCTGTGCTGAACTCAATTTAAACTAAATGACTGTCACATAAAAGGGAAACTTTTAGGCTCAACCCAAACTTTAAGGACAGGGTTCAATTCACCAGACAGATCACTTTAAAGCAGGGCATTTGATAAGTGAAGCCTTGGAACCACAGCTAAAGTTTAAAATCAATAATAAAACCCCCTGTGACAGAAAGCAAGAGAAACAGCCAGGTCTCTGAAATTCAATGACCTACACAAGAACGTTTATTTTAGAAAATTAATTCAACAGCGGCTGGCTTGCTCCCTTGTTCACTAAAGATATTTAGTATAAAAGAGCCCTACTGTATAATGACAGTGTTAAATGAGCCATCCTAGGCCCTGTCCTTCAGTTGAAAAATAGCGTGTTGCTTGCAGTGTATGAATCATTTATTAAAAATGTATTTGCACATTGTAAAAAGTAGCCAAACTCTTGAAAAACAAGTGCGAAATTCCAGTCAATAGTAATCATACTGTTATACTTTGTTCAATAGGAAAACATGGGGTGAAAAAGTGGTTTAAAAACTCCCAAAGTGAAGCTGTCTCTAGAAAGGTTTTCCTTCCTGTCATTCATTCACATCTACTGTAGTCTTGTGGGATTTCCCCTCCTAAAAAAACAAAAACTGAGCGGTACGAGACGAGGCTGCCAGAGAATGATGGGACGTATTTGAACTGAGCAGCTTGCCCCATAAACACATAAATAATACATAGAGAGAGCGGCTGCCTACTCAAAAAAACAGCATTTCACAACATCAGAAGATAGTCTTTGAAAGTGAGCAAACATGTTTGTTTACTTGCTACCCCTTTCCCTCAACCTATCCTAAGGGAGTCCATGTACGTAGACACGTTAGTTTAGCTGCTATATAGACTGTCGGGGGGGACCTTACTTCTTCCTTCTCTCTGTCTGTACCTGTGTACTCTCATGTTCCGAATAACCCAGCTTCCCCCAAATTTCTTTTTGGTGTCTATCTACGCCGGGATCCTGAGTCGTGGCTGATCCTGAGTCCTGATCTGAGTCCTGGACTTCGAGTCGTGGCTGAACCTGTCTCTGCGGTCCTGCCTGACTCTCATCATACTACTTCCCTGATGGCTCCCACAGGATTGTTGACATCCTTGTGGATTAATCTTATTCTTATAGACACATGCATTTCCAAACATTTGGTCTACCTATGTTGTAAAATGTATTATCTCTCACACACGGCATCTATTGCACGTCTGTCCGTCCTGGGAGAGGGATCCCTCCTCTGTTGCTCTCCCTGAGGTTTCTCCCATTTCCCCTTTAAACTGTGGGGTTTATTTGGAAGTGTTTCCTTGTACGATGTGAGGGTCTAAGGACAGAGGGTGTCGTATTGTCATACTGATATTCTGTACAAACTGTGAAGTCCACTGAGACAAATGTAACATTTGTGATATTGAGCTATATAAATAAACATTGATTGATTGATTGATTGACATGTAAAAAAAAACGTGCTCATGAGCTATTTCTTCAGGACTGATAAGAGATTTGGTTAACAGTAAACAACAGAGTGGCATGTTTTTCCAGATATCATTTATATAGGCAATAGAGATAAACAAATAGCAAGTCTCTCTTTGTATTTAAAGGATATATTGTAGCTATTGGATAAAGTATATTAAAGGTTTATATTTAAGTTGGAGGTGCGGTGTGTGACGGGAGGGCAGCAGGCAGCAGCAATACCGTCATTGACACGCAGACGCAACCTTATGCTTAGTAAAAGACGGATTATTAGGATCTGCTGTTTAAGTTTATGTTAAATATTGTTTTCGAATTTAGTTTTATGTTTGCTGGAAATAAACGTTGAAAAGCAACCGAAACGTCCAGTGGATTTTTTACTGCGAGTCTGACACTGCTTCCCAGCCCCAAGCTCTACATGTGGCCAAGAACAAGAACTTTTGAGGTATCGAGTTACAAGACAAACCTTTGGGGATTTTGGCCACTACAGGACCTATTATGCACATTCTCAGGTTCATATTGGTATGTTGTGCCTCTACTGTGACATGTTTCCATGCTTTAATGTTCAAAATGGGAGACTCCCTCTGGGGGGGAACATTCGGATTTTAGCCTTTGCAAACCATTTACATGCACAAAAACTTATATAACACACTACAGGAAAGGGAACACCCCAAAAAACAAAGTAGGGCCCCTTTAAGATACAAAGTATGTGTGTCATTCGTAGTTTGTGTTATTTTGTGTTTCCATTTGTTTCAGGTAGGCCTGTTGAGTAGAGTAGTTATTTCAACTATTACCCCAATTAGGGATAGGGCATCAATACATTTTATATCTCAATAAACAATAATTTATATTTTAAGTAACCTAAAGGAATACAAACACTGGCAACAAACACAAGGGGGAGCTCATGGTGCAAAGTGGAGGAACCCATGTTTGGAGAGGAGCAACACAAAAATCTGTGTGTGTGTGTGTGTGTGTGTGTGTGTGTGTGTGTGTGTGTGTGTGTGTGTGTGTGTGTGTGTGTGTGTGTGTGTGTGTGTGTGTGTGTGTGTGTGTGTGTGTGTGTGTGTGTGTGTGTGTGTGTGTGTGTGTGTGTGTGTGTGTGTGTGTGTGTGTGTGTGTGTGTGTGTGTGTGTGTGGTGTGTGGTGTGTGTGTGTACCTGATGAGTGTGTTGCTGCTGTTCTGCATCAGCGTGGCCTGGTCCATGGCCCTCAGCCAGGTGTTCATGTCCTCCTGGGTGTCAGCGCTGAAGTAATACGTCCGCATCCCCGTGTGCTCCGCCTGCGAGCCAATCACAGAGCTCTGCATGTAAATGTACGAGCGCATACCAGTGTGGCTAGCCTATAGGGAGAGAGGAGAGGCAGGGTGAGTGTCAGGGTCACAGAAATCAGCTGTGGATAAAGAGACAGGTGAGATGTCATGCTGTCCAACCAGAGAAACAACATCAAGGGCCACATGAGCATCGACCGATACATAGAGGCAATGACGGAAACCACACGATAGAAAATACAGAGACAAAAGTGCCAGCCATTTACGACCAACAAAGCCACGACGTTTACTCAATGAGAGGAAAGATACTCTGGTACGATGGAGAATGTGAGGGTCGGAAAAAATAAGTCTGTTCACAAACCTGTGTTTCCCGCTGCTATAATAGTTTAGACTCAACACATGTCAAAAAGGTCAAATAAAAGTAAACCTTGTCATGAATGATTGCTCTTTTTTTCAATGGTATATGTCATAAAGAAAGGTATAAGTTACAGAAGTATGGTATGAAAAGTAGCTCTGAATAGACGCAGTGTGAAATGTGACCAGACACCATGACAGGGTAATTGTGCTGTGATTTAAGTGCTGAGCTCATGACAGGCATATTCATAAACGTAAGATTGATGTGTCTTTGTATGCACATTAAAAAGGGCTATTAGTGCTACATCTAAGATTTATATGTGTGATGTTGCAGAATAATTTAAAGCAGAGCAAACACTGGTGAGGCACACACTAAATAATAGTATAGGTTAAGTAATATAGACTGTAGTCTGTGAGTGACTTCTGTTTTTAGTGTCAATTACACTTTAACTGTATACTATCCATTTTTTAAATAAAATGGATTCTATTTGAAACCTTCACTAAAGCCCAGTGTGATCTAGGTTGGCATCTGTGTTCAGTGTATCCCAACATTCATTTAGTTTCTTTATTTGAGGTGGGGGTAGTGTGTGGGAGAGAAACTTTGGGATTTTAGCCTTTGCAGACCATTTACATGCACACAAACCAATATAACACACTACAGGAAAGAGAAAGCACCAAAAAGCACAATAGGGCCTCTATAGGCGCGTTCACACCGCAGTACTTTTCCCACTTTAGTTCCGATATAGTTCCGAAATGTCGCGTTCACACCAAAAAAATCCGGAACTAAAATTAGTTCATGAGAACCTTTTTTACCCCCTTTTCCGTCCCTGCTAGAGAGCAGGGACTTTCGTGGGAGAAAAAGGTTCCTATGTCTGATTGGCTGGGCGGATTGCAAACCACGCCCCGTAAAACTCCCAAAAAGTTTTGTGAAGCCGCCATTTTATTATCCTCGCATTAGCATTATTAGCATTAGCATTAGCCCAGCGCACAAACGCAGAGAGACTAACTTATGGCAACACAAAATAAAACATGGGAGCGGTGGAGATGAGGAGGTGTCGGCGTTCTGGCGATTTACTCGGAAGGCTTCAACTCCGGGGACTTCCGGCCGGGGACTCCGGGTGGCAGTATACGCCGGGAAGTTGTTTGCGGCCTGCCAGTAAACCCAAAGCAGAAGAAGAAGAAGTGACGTCAGCGGCTTCATTTGCCTAACCCTAACCCTCAGGGAACTTATTCCGGTGTGAACGCGATCTGCTCTTTAGTTCAGAACTAAAGAGTTCTCATGAACTAAGTTCTGATGAACCTTTGTGGGAAAAGTACTGCGGTGTGAAAGCGCCTTATGTGTCTTAGGGGCCTCAGTGCCTTTCTCTGCATCCCAGAGAACAAATAAGAAGCATTAAAGTTTGTGTAGGTGGAGAGAGCAGTAATACTAGTTTTACAGCTGGAGGAAAATGAGAGGTTCTCGAAAATCAACATGCTTCTAGCTGCATTTGAATCTACTGAGACTGCATCAGTAGGGATGCCGGTATCTGAGCTTCTCCTACTATGGATTTCTCCTGAAGTCCTTGAGAAGCTCACACCGATTCCTTCACTGTTTGATCATTCATACAGACAGAAAATCTTCTTGCGACTGAACTGTTTTTTTTAGCTGTGTTAAAAATATCTGAAAATGATGTCACTGATATGATAATTGCCCCGCTATCCTGAGGGATAAGAAACCAACCATCAGACAACAGAAATGTCTTCAAGGAACATTACATCTCCAACAGCTGTTTAATTATTAGTGTCTAAGTGTTTTCTACCCTTGATGAAGATGTCCTTGCTGTGAAAGTGGGGTTATTAGAGACCCTTTTAAAGTGAGTTGCACTCCGCTGAGCACAGATCTTTAATGTCCTACTTTCCCCTTTCCTTCCTTCCTTTCTTTTGGATCTGAAGACAAATTAGGGAACCCACTCAACAACAGATGCATGCAAATGAAAAGTAATTAAACGCAAATCTTCCCTGCCCTAATTCATTCCCTGAATAATGAATGCAGCATGATAAGAGTGTAAGGATGGGATCTACATTACAGCAGTAACTCCACTGTGATTTCTCTATTTGCTTTACATTGTGATAAAAGGAGATGTAATTCAGCTTCATGTCTGCATCGTGATGACAACAAAACACTACAGTTCAATGTACACACTGAACAAGTTAATGAATTATGTAAACAAAGACTGTCATTCCCTGCTGTTCTATCTCGGTTTCTATAAACCCCAGCACACAAACGCTGACATGTACACAAACAAACATAACTGCATCGCCTCCAGCAGCTTGATAAGTCGCCTGCCCTCTGATAGCACCGCCGTCTGGCTGCTGAAACAAGCTCATTTCAGTGGCTGTGCACTAATCAAATGACTTCAACTCTCATTTCCTTACTCACTATGTTTGAATATGTACTTGAGGCTAAACCTAGTGCACACTTAAAGATCTTAGATTTGATTGCAACATCCTATAGTCCTATCAACTTGTGTACTTGCTCCATACTTATGTGGATGGGTTGTGGCAAGGAGTTTGTATGCATGCACTTAATAACCTAAACTGACATTAGACATTTCCTAACAGAGGTCTTTATTGTTTAAGGTTATGCTAATGAGTTGATTGATGTCAACATTTGACATGTAATGCCATTAAAGAGGACACATTATGCTAATGTTGAGGTTCATATGTATTTTGTGTCTCTACTGTGACATGTTTGAATGCTTTAACGTTCAGAAAGCTCTTTAAATCGCCATACTTCCTGTGCTGCAGCACCTCTTTTCACCCTCTGTCTGAAACCAGAGCCCAGTCTGCACTGATTGGTTAGCTGCTCACAGATTAGCCTATCACGTACAATGTGTTGGAGGACTAGCCAATAGAAGCTAGAGTGTAACATAGTGATGTCATTATGTTACTGAAGTAAGAAAGGAATCAAATGGAGGCGTTCAAAACATGAAAACCTATATAACACACTTCAGGAAAGGGACACCGCCAAAAGCCTTATAGTTCCTCTTTAAATTACTGCAATTCCACAAAGATTGTTAACATTATTTTCCCTGACGAGCAAATTAATTGAACATTAAATGTGCTGACTGAGCAGAAACTTGGATCATGATGAACGTGCTCTGTTGTTTCCAATCACAATCCAGGGCTATGCTCGCTTGCAGCCAACCAAACACTAGAGCAGCTGATCACACTGTCAGAACAAACAGTGCATTGTGACTGCTGTGAAAGCAATAATCAAACAGTCAAATGTTATATAACTTAATTAAAGCTGGAATGTGGGATCTTCAAATATGAATTAGTGCAAGCCCTTGCCAAATGAGTTCACACAATGCAGTGTTGTGGTATTGAGTGTCTGTGGTGACTTTCCCACGGTGTGGCACCAGAAGTGATGCGTTATTACGTCACTACAGAAACATTAAGGTGGCAGGAAGGGGGGGGGGGGGGGACTCTAAATCTTATGTACAAACAACAATGCTGTTAAAACTACTGTAAGCTTTACAAGATGTATATTTCACATATACCTAATCATTTTTAGAACTTTTAGTCCCCCTCGCATGTTGTTATTGTAGAGTCAAGTTGTTATATACACAAATAGTTGTAAACTTATTGTATATTGTCTCAAAGTTGGTTAACAAACAATAGAAGGGGTGGGGGACCATAGGGAAGGAGCATCAGCTAGGAAAACGGCTTAATCCTATACCTTACATAATATTCAAACTAAACTTCAAATACTGTTACACTGCCAACAAACGTGTGCTCTCCATCTGTTGTCATACAGTACGTGTCTCTGCTGTCTAAGCACTTGATCAGTATTTTAATGAGTGACCCTTTACCCCTGAAAGCTTTCAAACCAGTTAAAAACAGCAGGATTGTTGTTTGGTTAAAATGAAATTCTCCAGACTCTTTGACCACAACACGGCCCAGAGGAAAACACCAGCTGTGGACCAATCACAGTCCGCCTGTCACTGTCAGGGAGTGAGGATGTTCTAACATGACAGGAAACAGGCAGGGAAACTTGTTAGCAAACACTCATCTTAAAAGCCAATGGTAGAGGTCTCCAAAAACACCCCAAACATCTTGATGAAAGGAATGACAGCATCCCCAGGAAGCAGCTGTCACAACAGACCTGCTCGCTCACATCAACACTGACAGAGATCTTAAATCTGCGATGGGACGGCTTCATGATGAGAGACAGAGACTGCTGGGACTGTCAGATGTTGAGGCATGTGCAGAGAGGCATGTCACACACTCCGTTAGACACTTATATAATGTAGTATGTTTTATATAGAGTCCTATGTTTATATTTTAGTGTTACACTGTATTCTAACTTATACCGTATTTTTGCATTGTGAATTCTATAGATACTCTATAAATATTTATCTTTCTACTGTTGATATGTAAAAAAAATGTGGGGTTATTTTAATTTTATTATATTTTCAACTCATGTCTACGGAAGAGAAATAGGGCCACGTGATAATATTTTATTCAGAAAAAAAGTTATTATTCTGAAAAAATGACAGAATTCTGAAAAATAGTCAATATTCTGAAAAAAAGTAAAAGTTGTGAAAAAAAGTAAAAGTTATGAAAAATAGTCAATATTCTGAAAAAATAGTCAATGTTATGAAAAAAAGTTAGAATTCTGACATGAGTCAACATCTTGAAAAGAAGACGGGGTTCTGAAGAAAGTCAGAATTTTG